GTCACGTGGCGGGGCCGCGTGAGGAGGGAGGCGCGGGCGGCGCTCGCGCTCATTAGCGGGGGTTCATTAATGATTAATGATTGATTAATGAGCGGCCAAGGGAGGCGGGAGATCCGCGCGTGCGGAATGGCGGCTCTGATGCCCTCGGGGAGAGCGGCTGCGCCAAGGGGGGTTTGGGAATAGGGGGAAAATTCCCACCTGGAAAATTCCCACCTGGAAAATTCCCACCTGGAAAAGCTCCAGGGCTGGAACAGCTGCCAGGCAGGGATGGGATCCCATCCCGGAGGGGTTGAAACCCTTGGGATGTGGCACCTGGGGACAGCGGCATGGTTGGACTCCAGGAGCTCCGAGGGCTTTTCCAACAGAAACCATTCCATGATTCCAAAGAAATTCCAAATCCTCCATCCCTAAAACCCGCCCAGCTCGGGATGAAGCCGGCAGAACCCCCCCTGCACCGGACGAATGGGATTCAATCCCTATCCGACACTGATCTCGGGAATTCCGCGCCTTGCCCGCGAGGAGCCGTCGCTACGGAGCGGATCCCAGGCGTGGAAAAGGCTGGAAAATCAGGAATTCCAAGAGGAATTGTTATCCATGGCCTGGCCAGCTCCTGATTCCTGGATTCTCTTGGTTTACCAGGAAAACCAATCCCAATCCAGCGCAGATTCCGGGCTGGAGGGAGCGGCACCTCTCGGACACCAATTCCCATCCCAGTTTTCCCTTGGTTTTGCCAAGGAGCTGGAATTGCTTCCATCGACCCCAACATTCCCGTCTTGTCCTGAATCATTCCTCAGATCCAAAGGAAACTTTTCCATCTTTTTTATTCCTCGGATCTGCAGGAGCTTTTCCCAGGTTTCCGTGGCGGATCCGAGCTGGGAATGGGATCGGCTGCCGGCGGGAAGCGCTCCTGTCGGCTCAGAAGTTTTCCTTGGAAAAGGCGAATCCGAAGCTCCGGCAGTGCCTGCGGATGATCCTGGCCAGCCCCGCGGAGCCGCAGAAGAACACCCGGACCTTCCCGCGCCGCTCCGCCGCCACCTTCCCGAATAGCTGGAACAGCCGGAATCCTCGGCACGGGCGGATCCGCAATTCCCGCCTGGCCCAGCCCAATCCGGCGTTCCATGGCCCCATCCCGTGATCCCATTCCAT